TTTTTATGGATGGGCGCTTTTTATTTAACTTCTTTTGGACTGATGCATGCAACACCCGCTGAGTGCCATTAAACAGCTTGAAAGATCAAAGACCATTTTTAATATAACTCCGACTGGATTCGTCTGAAAGAAGAAAGTCATATACACCTAGGATGACTTGAGGGTGAGACATTTATGGGCTAATTTTCATTTTTGAGTGAACTAACCCTTTAATTGTCACACAATAAAAGACAACATGACAGCTTTACAAAACAAACTGATCGTGATAAATGAATATGTAGATAAAAAGCACTACAAAGAGTGCATTTGAAGCGGTTTCATATTTTAAAATGTCATAATTTTGTTATGAGAGCATTCCAGGCGTATTCAGATTGTGGTTTGTTTGTTTCGTGTCTCTGTTCCTCTTTGTTTGTCTGTCAGAGGAGCGGAGTTGTTTCAGGCGACCATTGTGAAGGCGGTTAAAGCCAGAATAGAAGAAGAGAAGAAGTCCATGGATCTGCTGAAGAGACAGTGAGTTCAGTGTGAGACTCACAATGCTTCATTGTTCACTGCCAACTGCTGCATTCCCTTTTCACGCAGTCCTATGAAATCATGCGCTGATTGATGCATGAACACACATTAATGAGACACACAGTTTGCTGCTTATTGCTTTTTCTCGGTCACAGTGTTTCCTATCATTTATCCAGCATTTTTAGCTCCTGAGAGCCGCTGGTTAACCAGTGTTCAAGGGAACAGCTAAATTAGGTCAGCTCAAGCAGACAGGCTGAGGACTCAAGATAACATCTTCTCCGTTTCCCTCTGTCTGTTTCTCTCAGGATGGACCGCATCAAAAGCCGACAGCAGAAGTTTAAGAGAGGTAAAGAGAGGATGCTGTCTCTGGCTCAGGAAAGTGGGGAAAGACACTCAGGTGTCAAGTCCATATTCAAAACGTAATAATCACTTTAATGTAGCTTGCGCTCACTGTTGTACACGGAAGCAGCTCGGGGGGAATGACGTATGAGGTCAGCGCTGCGCATGCGTGGCTCAGAAGTGACGAACGCAGAAATGCAGCGGAGAGATCGAAACAAAACAACGGTCACTAATTAGAAGTAAAATATGTAGATAAAAAAGCACTACAAAGAGTACATTTGACTGCTTCATTTGAAGCTGTTTCATATTTCAAACTGTAAATATGTAAATATACGTATTCAGACTGTGTTTCGTGTCTCTGTTCCTCTTTGTTTGTCTGTCAGAGGAGCGGAGTTGTTTCAGGCGACCATTGTGAAGGCGGTTAAAGCCAGAATAGAAGAAGAGAAGAAGTCCATGGATCTGCTGAAGAGACAGTGAGTTCAGTGTGAGACTCACAATGCTTCATTGTTCACTGCCAACTGCTGCATTCCCTTTTCACGCAGTCCTATGAAATCATGCGCTGATTGATGCATGAACACACATTAATGAGACACACAGTTTGCTGCTTATTGCTTTTTCTCGGTCACAGTGTTTCCTATCATTTATCCAGCATTTTTAGCTCCTGAGAGCCGCTGGTTAACCAGTGTTCAAGGGAACAGCTAAATTAGGTCAGCTCAAGCAGACAGGCTGAGGACTCAAGATAACATCTTCTCCGTTTCCCTCTGTCTGTTTCTCTCAGGATGGACCGCATCAAAAGCCGACAGCAGAAGTTTAAGAGAGGTAAAGAGAGGATGCTGTCTCTGGCTCAGGAAAGTGGGGAAAGACACTCAGGTGTCAAGGAGGAAGAGGAGGAGGATGAAGGTATATTTACACAAGAGCATTTTGGACTCAGAAATATCATGTTTTCACATCTCAGGCCCAAAGTAAAAAGTTTTTTTTTTTTTTTAAGAAATTCATGCTTTTATTCAGCAAGGATGCATTAAATTGATCAAAAGTGCCAGTAAAGACATTTATAATGTTACAAACGATTTCTATTTCAAATAATTGCTGTTCTTTTGAACTTTCTATTCATCTGTGAATCTTGAAAAATAAAATGCATCACGGTTTCCACAAAAATATTGTGCAGCACAACTGTTTTCAACATTGATAATAATCAGAAATGTTCTTGAGCAGCAAATATTAGAATGATTTCTGAAGATCATGTGACACTGAAGACTGGAGTAATGATGCTGAAAATACAGCTGCGCATCACAGAAATACATTACAGTTTAACATATATTCACATAGAAAACAGCTATTCTAAATTGGAATAATATATCATAATTTTTAATGTTTTTACTGTATTTTTGATCAAATAAATGCAGCCCTGGTGAGCAGAAAAGTCTTCTTTCAAAAACAATTGAAAATCTGACCGACCCCAAACTTTTGAATGGTTCATACTATGTACTGAGTACTTTTTCTCATTATACAATAAACATAATTCAATTGATCAAATAATAGATTTGCAATAAAAATAAGTATATTTCAGTTATCCAGTTAATTGTAATATTAGTAAATCACGGGGACACAAATGGCACCGTTTCCTGAGAATAATCGAAATATATTCATAAGCAGAATACACTTAATTCACATAAATTAAAAATAACAATTGTGTTGTCCTACACACGTTTGACTGAATCTTTGTCGAAACACGCTTTAGTCCAACATCAGTGTCAGTGAACTGAAGGTTCATAAATTCCACAAGTGCCTGCGTTTAACTGCGGTGTTAAATGCATTGCAATCAAATCTAAAACACATGAAACGCGCATACCAGAGCTCTGAGTAAATGTGCGCTCTTTGAAACGGTTTTAATGTTTTAAAGTGTGTTGTGTGATGGGTTCACTGAAGCACTTCTCTACATTACAGGAGACAACAGCAAAGAGAAGAAGAAAGACAAAAGGAAGCAATGGTGGAAGCCTTGGGTTGATCATGCGTCCAGTTAGTGTCTCCCGAATGCTCATTATTGTGCAACTGAAATAAAACTATTCATATTCATTTCACAAGACCTCAATGTTGATCTGATGTCATTCGGATAAATATTGCAGCTCAGATTCACATTTGAAAGGGGAAAATCATAAGATTTCTTTGATACCTCAACTGTTTCTTCTAAACAACAGTGAGATTAAATAAAGAGCAAAATGAGACTTGTTTCTCAAATGTGTTTCCCCTAGAAAAAAAACATTAATAATCTCAAATTTGTCTGCCCAGAGATCTCAACAATGTCTCAGATTGAGCTCAGATTTGCTAAAATACCAACATACGCAATCATTAGACAGAGATCTCAATGTGAACTCAATATTTCACATCTAAGCATAATTTGTTTCTGTTTTTGCTTCAAAAATTTAATTAAATATAATTTAAACATGACTGGGCACTCTGTTTATTCGAATAAATAAATACAAAATAAATCATTTAAAAATAAATGAATACATTTTTTTAAATAATGAAATGCAAAATAATTCCTTTTTAAAAAAATAAAATACAATTATTTTAATGGTTTTGTTTTTTTTTTAATATTTTTTTTTCATTATATTTTATTATTGGTTTTATTATGTTTTTTTCAATAGAAAAGTGATGTGTGATATGTTTTCTCTTTTAGTGGTCCGAAGTGGCAATTATTACTTATTTGAGACAGATAGTGAGGAAGAGGAGGAAGACGAGGACAAAAAGGACGAGGAACCTCCCAAAAGATCAGCATTCCAGGTAAATATTCCAGAAACTTTAGTGCTTTACTGCATGCGCACCCTTTTTTAAGTCGTATAACTGTGCTGAATTGTGTTGTTCCCACACGAAACTGTGTTTAACCTAAATGGCTCTGGTTTACGGAAATGTTTCAATGTTTTCTTCTTTTGTTCCCTCAGCACTTAACAATGTTTCGTTATTTACCAGACCACTAATCGAGCGGTAACATCACTAGCGCCCTGACTAACCCATCGCTGCTCTGTCGTCTCTTGTAGAGAGCTATCCGAAAGTTTGCCTCTGCTTTGCTGGCTTTACCAAAGTCTGTCATTAATCTGCCCAAAACTGTACTGCAGTATGTAATCAGGGCAGCCAAGGTACTTCACAATGCCTGATATATCTCCTCTCTTCTTGTATGCTGTAGATGTGTCAGCTCTCGACAGCTATGGTGCTCCACTGCATTTTCCTGCTCTCCAGTTGCTCAAGATACATGCATTTGTGGAGAGCAAATAGAGCCGAAATGTCTGATTATTACAGTTGCACGTCAATCATCTGGCCGCCGTCATCTGTAAACAGAGCAGATACGGTGCATTGCATGCCAAGGAAATGCAGTGTATTATGCAGTCGATTGCAGGAGCATGCAGGGCTGGGTGATTTATTAACTATTCATGATATATTTGAGATAATGTTGCCATTAGGAGAGTTTTACTTAGCTGGTATGAAAGCGTGAAGATGTTTTAATAGCTGATTTAAACATTTTAGAATTGGTAAGTTTGATTAATTTCTAAAACTTTCTAAAATTAGAACACAGTCCGTATTAATATCTTGATTCTGAACTCTGGTTCAGCACTTCCTTTATGTTTTATTGATTCATGTAAATGAAAATGATTCAAATTCATTTTTTGTGTGTGTGTGTGGGGGGAACATACACTGTTGATCAAAAATACAGAAAAAAACTGTAATATTGTGAAATATTATTGCAATTTCTTATATCGGTTTCCTATTTTAATGTACTTTAAAATAGAATTTATTTCTGTGATCAAAATTGAATATGCTGATTTATAATCAGTGTTGAAACTGTTCTTTGATGAATGAAAAGTTAAAAAGAACAGCATTTATTCAAAATGGAAATCTTTTCTAACAATTTAAGTCTTTACTATCACTTTTTATCCATTTAACACATCCTTGCTGAATAAAAGTATTAATTTCTTTAAAAAAAAGAAAGAAAGAAAAAAACTACTGACCCCAAACTTTTGAATAGTAGTGTATATTGTAACACAAAATTTATTTTGGGAATAAACACCATTCTTTTTAACTTTTTATTTTTCAAAGAATCCTGAAAAAAAAAGTATTAAAAAATCCCCAAAATATTGTGCAGCACAACTGTTTTCAACATTGCTAATAATCATAAATGTTTCTTGAGCAGCAAATCAGCATATTAGAATGATTTCTGAAGATCATGTGACACTGAAGACTGGAGTAATGATGCTGAAAATACAGCTGCGCATCACAGAAATACATTATATCTTAAAGTATATTCAAATAGAAAACTGTTATTTTAAATTGCAATAATATTTCACAAAATTACAGGTTTATAGACGGACGGACGGACGGACGACCGGACGGATAGATAGATAGATAGATAGATAGATAGATAGATAGATAGATAGGAATAAAAGGATATCTGAAAATATGAAGATATAATATTTTTAGCTTTATCATCCAGCCCTTGATGCATGTGAGCTGCAGATGTTTTTCTGGGGTTTGGTTATGCCAGTTAAACAAAGGCTGTGTTTTTCTCCTTTGTGAACAGTGTAATCATTCTTTTTTTGGACGAGACCTGACACCACAATCAGAAAGTCTGTCCTTTGGAGCAAAACATCCCCTAAAGCTGGTTCCCTGTCTTGTGTATTGTGTGGGTGTCTTTGATTGACAGGAATATCTGACGCTTTTCCTAAAACAGTCTGTTTTGCCGGCTCAGTTAAAGGCTGGTTCTGGACTGGAACAGTGTGCAAGTTTATACTCTGCATGTGTATATTTGTTTTTCACTAGAGGGGCAATTAAATTGGGCTCAAAGACTGGTTCAAAATACCACTGAAGTTAGAAAGAAATTAGACTGGATTATAAACACCCAACCCAAAAGCAGCTCACTATCCCACTTGTCCATTTCTTTGTCTAACGTGATCCTCTGCTTCTCAGTTTGTGTATCATGCCTGGATAACTGACTCAAAAACTGCCATGAAAGAGAGAAGTAAGGAAAGACGGCGATTCTGGCAAAGGTACACGGAGCGCAGCACGAACAAGAAGAACCAGAAGCAAGGTATGATTATACATCGATTTTAAACTAATCATACTCTTCCTCTGCGATCAGGGGATGGATGGATGGATGGATGGATGGACGGACGGACAGACAGAGAGATAAACAGATAGATGGACAGACAACAGAGACAATTAGACAGATGTATGGATGGATAGACGAACAAACAAATGGACAGATTGATAGACAGATGGACGAACAAATGGATAGATGGACGGACGGACAGACAGAGAAAGACAGACAGACGGATAGACGGATAGATGGATGGATGGATGGATGGTCAGACTAATAGATAGATAGATAGATAGACAGACAGACAGACAGACAGACAGACGGACGGCCGGATGGACGA